TTTGCATCACTCATCGATTTCCAGCTGTTAATAAATAGAAGAATGCTTTGAACTCATAATCAGGAGACTGCCACGGTTTAAGGAACCAGCAAAAAAAGAAAGAATTTACGGTACTTTTTATTGTGCTGAACAATGTAAGGTAGTTATAACTTTTGAGTCTGTGGATGAAATGGTCCAGTTAGAAACACTTTCCTCTGACACTGCCTATATTTTGTAAGTTTATTTCACTTCAGACTTTGGCAGTTATCAGGAGTGGACTGACATTTGAAAAATGGCAGACAGTAAAGGAATGTGTCCTCACAGACAACATATGGACGATCCAAACATTGTTTGGCGGGAAGGAAAACCCGACTTTACGCAGGTCAACAAAGCTTATTTAGAGGGGAGGACACGAGTACACAAGGAGGGGTCCCTGGAGAAAATTGTCGAAGATTTAGTCAAGACTTGGGAAATGGAAGCCTCACACAAAACCCGCATTGAGGTAACACTCGAGTTCCGTGCAAAGGATCAGTACATGTACTTTAGTTGATAAGTACCATTTTGCTCTCCTAGACAGTGGTTGCTTATCACCGGTCTGTTTCCAGTTTGGGCAAATGGTAAGCAAAATTCAAGACTGATAAATTTCGTCCCGAAACGTATTTACCATTTGTACAAAAACCGAAAACGGCTGCGAATTAAGGCTTGAAACTGGTATCAAATATGGCTCTGAAGAAATGGAACAATAACACAAGAAATTCCGTGAGTTTTTTGCTAGCAACAGAAAAAAGACGTTTACCTGTGCGTGCGATGGCGCGTACTGTCAATTTACTTACGCATTCGCCATTTGCACATTTCCCATAATACACCTTGTTTTCCTCCCAAACTTTTGCATAACCATTACAGTCGTCCCATAAGAAATTGAAGGTAAAGCTTATGCAAAATTTTTGGGGGCAAACAAGGTGTATTATGGGAGATGTGCAAATGACGAATGACGCGAACTGTCGTTTTACGCTCTCCTATTAGTGCTAAGATCAGGACAGTTGACAGCCAATCAGATTTGAAAATTTTGTTCTATTTTTTAACTGTACACAGGCCTTCGGTCGAGGGAGGACTGGTGTGATTAGCCGTACCCTGACACCAAGGGAGTTGTTTTTTAATTAGTTTAGTTAAGTGCCTTTGCTTTTTCTTGTTCTTCAGGACTGGCAGTCCGTTGACACAGAAGTGTTCACTATTCGTGCAAACAATCAACGTTCATTCACTTTAAAGGAAATGATTGAGGAGGGAAATTATAATGCACTGATGCAGCAACAACCGCTGTACAACAGCGAGGCTCACACCTTTGAATCTTCCCATGAGCTGTTTCGGTCTGCATTCAGCAAAGGGTTTCCGTGGGAACTGATAGAAGTCTTTTCCGGTTAGTAGCATGACAGATAGTGGCTGCGGTCACATCTACGACGTAACTAAAGTTTAACTTAAGTTAGTGTCAAGTTACGTGTTGTCATACCTAACTGTAGTTAGTGCTTTCGGTCGACATTGCGGTCACACCACGCAGTTAACAACAGTTAGTTCTAATTAGCCTATGTAAATTTTTTGTTTGTTGTTTTTGGTTTCCCCCTCGGTTCACGCTGGGTTTTTATTTTTCATATTTATATAGGCTCATCTCGCACGTGCGAAAAGTGTCACATTCTGATTGGTTGTTTGCTTGTAAGCTTAAGACTAACCCACGAACCCTGCTTGGGTATAACTATAGTTAGGGCCTGTTTACATGGAGGTAGGGGACCCCAGGTAGGCGAGGTAACCCGCTTAGGTGGGGTAACCCGCCTGTCCAGATACTCTCTCATTTTAATTTGATCACGTTTACATGTTAAGTGGGGTGACCCGCCGCATGTTACCTCACCTTTCTGGGGTCCACCACCTCCATGTAAACAGGCCCTTAGTCTGTATTGTTTTGGATCACCCAGGCGTAAATTTTCTAACTACAGTTAGAGCGAAAAGAGAAGCGGTCACATTACCGAAATAGCTAACTATAGTTATCCCCGTCTTAACTATAGTTAATAGCCCCAGATGTGACCGCAGCCACTATCAGTGAAAGTTTTCCCCTTGATGGATGAATTTTTCAATACAGACTCCAAAAATACTATAATAATCTTCAATGGGAAAAGCAGAGCCCCACCTCGATGTAATTATTCCAATCTTTGCTACAACAATGTCGATCATGATCAGGAGGATGAAAAACTACTACGTGGATGTGCTGCCTCTAAATGATTGTTTATTTATTTACTTGTTTTCTATTAATTGATTAATTTTATTTGTGTTCTTTGTAGGTCCTCCGAGAGTAGCTTTCTCCTGGCGCCACTGGGCTCACTGGACAGGACCATATAAGGGCAAGGACCCGACTGGAGAGTTACTGGAAATGTTCGGCATGGCTGTAGCTGAGGTGGACGAGAACTTGAAAATCAAGTCTATTGACGTTCACTATGACCCTAATCAGATTCTGATGAAGTTGGAGGGACAAAAATAAAAATTTGATTGAGTGGCCTGTGTAGCAAGCGTTTCCGTTTGGTTTCGGAGCAAAGAAAGACCGAGGAACGTGATTTCTGGTTTTGGCCGCGCGAGAAATGGAACGAGCCCTAGCTGAGCCCACTCCCTGCTCTTTTACTCGCCTGTGGTCTTTGATTCTGGTTCCTCGTTCTTCGTTCCGAAACGGTCCGAAACCGCACGGAAACGCTTGCTACGCAGGCTAATGATTGAGTGATGTAGTCAGTTCATGCTCGATCAGAAACATTTGTGAAGGCAAAACCACAACGACAAACTAGTGAGGGTCCACCGGATCTTTAGTAGACCTGGATCAGTAAAATCTTGAAAACCAAATTTTAAATTTTAAAACAGTAAACTGATCCTTACGGCAGGAAGAGTGATAGAAAAAATAGAGAAAGAGAAGAAAAATAAAGTGGTGAATTATATGTTCAGTTCACGCTCTCTACCCCGGGATTCTAAAATAGCTTACATGCAAAGGAAAAAAGAGAGTTAAAGATAAAGAAGGAGTATGGACTAAATAAGACTGTATAGAATTTTAAAATAACCAGAACAATGAAACTTTGTATCAGCGCTGTAGGGTTATAACCCGCCCTTAAGATCACTAGTAAATCATATAAACCTTTTCGTGTGAGTAAGATGTGAATGTAGACAATTAGGGGCACTGTGAGAGAAAGGCCCCGTTGAAAGGAAGGGATAGAAGCTGTACTGTTTTTCGTAAGTACAGGAGAAACGCAATATTATGTAGAATATTTTATAGAGCTGTTCTCTCTATGCGCAGAAGAGGAGACATCCGGGATAGAGACCAGTTTACAGCTATTTCGAGAAAGGTTGTCGGAAAAAGTGCGCGCGACAATCCCGAAAGGTATTGTGGGTGGTTTTGAGTTCACCATTCTTCAAAGACATTTAAAAGAATGGCACGAGAGGCCATGGATGTATGTTTGCGTGTGCTAAAGGAAAGCAGCAAAGGTAGGCTCGACAGCTACTGTGTCAGGAACAGTGTATTGATCGTATCCCATGTTACCTTTCGGGATTGTCGCGTGCACTTTTTTTCTGACAACCTTTCTCGAAATAGCTGTATAAACATTCAGTAGGGTCTGGAGGAGTATTATTGGATACCGGGAATTTACCGAAATAGAGTGTAGGTTTCGGGAAGAGCGAAAATTTCTGGACGGTATACGGGATTTGACAACTACTTAGGAAGTGGGATTCGCCAAATTCTTGGCACGGGATGCGGTATATTGGAAGGATTGCCCCCAATCCCCATGCAAGCTCGAACCTCCGGCGCCCGTTTGCAAGCCCCCCCTCCCCCAGTACGCTCCCCCATTCCTGTCTACAGCTAATAGGGACTTTAAGATCTGAGGACGCAACGGCAGCAAAAACGTTGTATAAAAAGTGAATTTGCGTTCTTTCGGTCTTCATCGCGATTATTTTCACTCACTTACTTTGTCAAAATGAAGGCGAACCCTCCTGGAGTTGAATTCCTAAGAACGGTGTCCAAGTTCAGAAAGAGAAATAAAATTTCGTCGTCGCCCGTTTACCTCTAAAACGTTGAATTAGTCAATTTCACGTCGTAGTCGTGCAAAAACGGCAAAGAAATGTACACAAATGCTTGATGCACGAGCAAAGTTGTTGTTTTGCTTATTAAACCTCTTTTTTTTTTAACATTCTCGTTGCCGTCGCCTCGTCGGATCTTAAACTGTCCGTAATAGCTGCGCAGTGGTCAGTCACTTAAAAAAACAGCTCATAAAAGGCGGTCACCATTCAATCACTTTATTATCACTGTTCAGGAGACCATTATTGTAGAAGCTCACATAGTTTCTTACACTGCTACAGCTGAATGCATTGAAGACTGAACAGAGATAAACCTACATCGAGACCGTTTTACTGATGAAACCACAGTTTGCAAACGATCTGTCATTAATCAGAGCAACAACAACAACGATACTCCCAAAACATTATTGCAATTGTGTGACAAAAAAATAAATTTTCACAAGGTGAACGACATCATCATTCATCTTATGACTAAAATATATATATTTTTTCAAATAAATCGTCTTCATTGAATGAAATTCTCAAATTAAGTGAACATTACAGGTTTCCTCTAAGTATATCTTCATCGAGATTGAAAGAAAATATATCATAGTCTTACTTTTAACTGGATTTTTCTATTTTGTTTTATTTTATTTTAGTCTAATTTTTGTTTGGAAATCAATTGTTGTTTTTTATTCAGAGATCAATTTGTTAAAATTGTTTTCATTTCTTTCTGGGCTAACCAGCGAACACAAACATATTTCTGGCTGTCTGCTACTTTTCGGCGGGGAGACTGGAGCGAAAGTTCGACCTGTACTGTGTGATTGTAGCCTACGGCTACTCCAACTTATGTTGTTAATTACTGATATTTCAAACCCCCATGCAAATAAGAACAGGTGTTGAATTTCGGCGATATTTTAAAAATTGAGTTAGTAAAATATCATTTCTTCCTATTTCCTCATCTCAACGCTTGTTTTCGGGTTTGTTATTTGTATGAAGACTCTAGCTGAAAACAAGAATTATCGCCTCCCATAGCCAGGTAAACGTTTGGTTTTTAACGAAAACAATTTTAACAAATACAAGGTAGAGCGCTCTTCTGTACTATCGAAAGAGACTATGAAAGGTCTTTGGCAATAAAAGGAATCACAAATAATTCGTAACCTTCGCTAGGAGCGAGGAAACCCGCGGTACCGTACCGCCCTGGTGCCACCATATTCGGTACCATGCGAGAACTTGCAGCGCGAAAAAGCGTGCAACTGGTGTTAATTGTGGGAAAATGACATAAGGCTTTAAAGGTCACGTGAGTTATGTTTGATTGGTTAAAACAAACAGAACACGTATTGCATTTTCACGAAAAGTTACATCAAAGAATCTTTACCAAGGCTATCTTAGCAGACTTAAAATAACTTATCGTCGGTTAAAATAACTGAAATTATGTCAAGTCTTTCGATAGTCGTTAAAAACTGACCGCTCTACTCAGACCTGTAACCTTTGTTTTCCCTTTGACATTCAATCAGTAGTTCTATTATATCACCTCGTATTTGTTCAGGTTCTACTGGCGCCGTGTAACGAATCCGCGGTTGTCCATTCTGATCAATCAACACCTTCTCAAAGTTCCAGTTGACGTCGTTGTTCCGAACCGGTGACCAAATGATGTTCTTTAAGTCATCTATAAATCCGTCTGGTGCAGGACATCGAGACTGGCAAATAAAAAAGTTCTTATAAGAAGGGTTGACCGTTTTATGCTAGAGACGTTAAACATCAACTTTAAAAACGATAATCGTCATCTTGTTGTTGGGTCGTTCAGACACAACGCCAATGCATGGACCACTTTACGTGCGTCTACATACAAGGGCACCCAACGAATGTTTTCTGTAAAATGTCTTTTTGAAAGAACAAATCTTATCTAGGATTTTCTATAGCTTGAGGGCAGCTAAAAAATTCTAGAGGACCGGTCCATTCATGTACAATTTTCGAAGCTTGTGAAACAAATTCCCTACGAATTTTTCTTTCACATTTCACTCCTTATGTTACGCCGGCTATATTTCGAAGAAAAAAAAACCTAAAATTTTCGTATTGGAAAATTGGATGGATAGGGGAGTCAAAAAAACACTTAACTTCGAGTTCGTAAAGCTTTCAATTCCATCTAAAATTTCGAAAAAACAATACCGAATCCCTTGTATTTAGCCTACAAAAGCAGAATTTGGGGAGAGAAGCGACGTTCGCAGACTACTTGTGATTTCGAATGGACTCAAGTTACCCTAGGGGGACCGAACTGAGATACAAACTTTATAGCGCCGCTTAGAATGCCCTTCCAGTGATCTAAAAGTACAGTAGGTAGCCTAAGAAGTGTTTTCATTGTACTCAAGAGGACACCGTCGTTTCTTAGGTGCCCCTGACTAAAACACAGGGCGCATTTATGACCAACTCGAGTAGAAATGACTTGGAAGAGTCAGTGTTGTTGCTCTTTATAAAAAAAAACCTCTTTTTTTAACCAAATTTTCATCTTATTTTATGCGTTCCGGTTTTTACACCAGACAACTTTAACGTCTTGGCAAGAGAACTTTATCGTCTCCTGCATAGAAACGACTATTATGTTGAAACATTTCCAAGGGCACTCTTTCAAAGATAATTTTTTGTGAGCAAAACTCGGGCAACCCGATCAACTTTGCTTTATTTTATATAGCCTCAAAGCGCACTCTCGGCTAGACATCTGACTCAAAAGGAGAATAAGTATGAGGAAAACTTTAGAAAATGGCATAAGTCCTCGGCTTCAGCATATTACTTCACTTTTTGAAACGACCCTAATGTATTTTACTAATATTCTCTTTGTACACGCTTTTGAGTTTAAGACACAATCCTAGTTTCCTTTGCTTGTTTAGGAGAACGGCTACTTACAATAACTGAAGACGCAGATGCTAATCCTGGTGGGGCTTATTTTCGTCTGATCGTCGGTCAGTGTTATTGGCTATGAAAACTCTGAATGCGTGTGGTGCGGTTCGATCCGTCCTTGGTCAAAGTATATAATGCTCCTTATGTTGTTGTTCAAATTGACCTAAATTGTTAGCTTGTTCAGTCACTCTGTTGTCAGTTTGCACGAGTTCCTTAAATAACAAGTCCGTCTTTGTTGAGCTAACTTCTTTCTAAAGTGAGCCGTTAGAAGTCTTTCAAGTCAGTAATGCAGTTTAGTACGTAATGCATTCAGCAGAGTCCCAATTCAAATTATTTCTTGGTGTTAATAGGGCATTATAAAGCTTAGCCGCTTATGGTTAGTAACAGTAATAGCCACTACTAAAACTATGCTCATAGCCAAGGAACTATGCTTATCTAGAGAACCTAGTAACATGCCCTGTTCGCCTCGTTTGCATCTGTGCAGAATTTAACGAACTAAATTAGTTGAATGAAGGCATTGAGTGCCAGTTAATGGCCTGGTATCATGAAGACACAAAATAA